TGCAAGTTCATGGGGGTGGTGAAGTCCCCAGCTGACATGGCCTCCTCGTGGAATATTCGGGACTCTCACTGTGATATTGAAAGAAGAGAGAGAGGCGTCAAAATCGAAACCATAGAGCCATGTTGCAACTTTGCCTTGGGGCACACTGACTGTCCAATTTTCTTTGCTTGTAACATGATCGCTGATAAATAAATATGGCATTCCGTGCTGCCTAAATCACAACTGCTTTACCATGTGTATTTAAAGCAGCTGAACTCTCGTAGCACTGCTTGCAGACAAACTGCATTCAGTCTACGGCAAAAGAATGACGGAAATTCTCAACGATTCTTGAAGTAAACTTATTTGTGTTGTTGTTTTTCCCCTCTAGGACACTATAGCTACCTTGTCCATCTTTTCGGCAATTTCAAAGCGTAACGCACTGTTTTTTCGCTTCCTTGGTCATGTACCAACCGGCCCAAATAAGCACTTTAGTTTCGCTGTACCACTGACGTGCGAGTTAACCTTGCGATAACATGGAGGAGGAGGAGGAGGAGGAGGAGCAGAAGGAGGACAGTTAGGTTATATGGAATGCTCAATTACGTCAAGAATAGGACCGTAAACAATAGGGGAAAGTCATCCACTGCGTTGTTCTGTTAAAGGTAAACTCCAGTGATTTTTCGACCATTTCAAAGTAAAGGTGCTTTCATGTCTTCGAGACACTTTTGTCACGCGCCCGATAGCTCAAATGCTCAACAAATTTGAAAATAACTATTAATTAGCAAAAACCACAATACCGAAATCGACACCCAGCCGAGTGGGCTTCTACGTGTGACGTAATACTTTGAGAGAACCTGCTTAGTTGCGCATAACGCCGTCAGATGGCAGTGCTTGTCCAGGCCATCCGAGGCGATCGGGACATCCCATCACCACTTGCCACCCATCGCACGCCCACCAACATGGAAAAGGAAACTGCATGCCAAGGAAGCACTGGCCAAACCCACACAATTCATAGCAGACAAGCAGACGCTGTAGTGGCACATCAATTCTGTCACTTATGCTTTGCAAAAAATTAAAGTCACACACACAATGTTGCCATTAATTCTGGCAAGCGAGGTGATGCGTTTGAAGAGAAGGTATCAAATTCATTTGAAAAGAATCTGCGAAACTCTCAAGCCTGCAATTTGTCATGCATGGCGCTAGCGTGCAAATTAACGTACCCAGGTGAATTTTATTGACATCCATTGACCTCGGAAAATCGCCGGAGTTTGCCTTTAAGTTCGGAGCACTTTAGCGGGCCCCGGATGTACTCTATCTCGTGTGACATGATCGCGCTCACAGAAAGGCGCTCATAACGGGCTATATCAAAGCTAGCAACGCTCAAACCTGCGTTGAAATGAACTAACAGGGTCTAAAATAACATAATTAACAGAAAGAAACAATAAGCAATCGCAATAACGTAAAGTCGCTAAAACGTTTCGGAAATGTGAGGCTGACTTCGGCTAGGCGGACGCCACAGACTCGCCGAGCGAGCGAATGCCCTTCCCCCTGCACGGCGTCGACGCTGTGTTGCTATATCACTGCATCTGATGGGAGAAACAACCTGTAGGAAATTGCAGCAGACGACGCGTATCTAAACTGTCATAACAAGCAGGAAGGCTATAGAGTGCAGCAAATAGTAGCGCACAGGTCGCACACCGGAGTTTGTGAATTTGCTTAACAACATTCCACACGTGCCAAGAGAACCCTATAGTATTTCAGTGTTCTACATACATACCTCGAACATTTGCGCCACTGACGTTTCGCGGTACCATTGCGGTAACTTCACGAACGGTAATCGATGGGTGTCCACGCGACACACTTCCTCGGTTTTCCTGGTATAGTGGAAATGTCATACGTTTTTCCAGCCTATAGTCTCCGTGACTCACTTATTGTGGGCGATTATCCAATTGTTGGGCAGTTTAGAAAACTTAATATTGTGGTCATCCTAAATGAGTCTAAAACTCGCCTTGTGCTCACGCGCTTCTGCACGTTTACGTATTCTTTTAGGAGCGATGCTCCTAAAGGCAGTGGGTCAGTTCATTCCTTGTATGTATGCACGTGACTACCTATAGTTCGACCTTTGCCAACTGCCCACTACAGTCGTTCTTGCGAACAACCCACTACGGCCCATCACTGATTTACAACTTCACCGACCGTAAAGCAATTACTCTTGAGAAGTAGCCAATATAAAATGCGAGATGGTCGTGTACTTGTATCCTGATGCGCGTTAAAGAACCATAGACTGTTCCACTGTGTCCATCCCTTGTTTGTACGTGACCACCCTTTGCAAACTGCCCACTACTTCGTTCTTGCCAACATCCCACTACGCCCCATAACCGATCCCACACTTCACCGACCATAAAGCCGTTATAATGAAGGGAGAATGGTAGCGACGTACAGCTATCACTTACGAATAACGAAATTTCTTGTATATACAGTGTTTGTCACGTCTTTGATGACGTAGCGGCCCATATTCGCGGATGGTTCACGGTTTAGCGATGAAACCCTCCAGCACTTCGCCTCACTCATCATCGTTCACTCCGCGGATATATTGTGATTTTTTTTATCCTGCTGTTGAGCTTCGAGTAAGCAGGCGGGCGGCGGCAAACTCATCAGCGAATCGGGGCTCGACAGAAAGGACGCCGAGGGTTTGAGGGCCCTTTTAAATGAACAAATAAGGATAATGCGCAAACCTAAACAAGCGTTTAACCTGTCATATATAAATAATATTGAGCGACTGGATGAGATGAATTTGTTCGTAGATGGCTAATGGCTACCTACGTTCAAGCTTCAAGCGTCTCCTACATGGCGAACGCAAACACACAATTGAGACTGCATGTCTTTTATACTTGTTCCCGTTCGATCAACAGACTCCGCTTATACGCCTGTCTCGCAAATAAGGCCCGAAACAATGGGACTTCCGAGGTTCGGTGAGTGCGTACATTCGCCACTGGTCTTGTGGACGGAAGTATTTTGCTCTTTGGTCACCGAGCATTTCCATCGCGTGCATATCTCGTCTCCTCGTTGATCACAATGAAGGGACAACAAAATAGGATAACGGCAAGCCATCAGGCCTGTCAGCAGCACGTACTTTCGGACGACTATTTGTTCGACTACGCCTGCCACCGGCCGGAGGCGAACCTTTGGTTTACTTCGACGTCCGGCAAGCGGGTAATGGAACCCTCGTCAGCTTTACACGTGATGCGGGGCTCTACCTGGTCGTACAATATTGGTTTCGTTTTTTTTTTTTTTCGTTATAGTACTATTGCGTGGAAGCCTTCCTTGAAAAAGGAACGAGAAACGTGCGGACGATTTTGTTTGACTCTTAATTGAATCTCCTTGGGCAAAAACCAATCATCTTTCTGCCTGGGCCGTGGGCCGTTGACTGATCGTGATAGGGTAATAGGTATAGGCGTGCACGCAAGTAAAGCAAGAGCCCCCCTGTCCCCTCCCCTGCCTAGTCATCTGAAGGGGGGCATCACCCCAGAAAGTTAGGGACCACAGTCAGGCCATTGAGCAGCACGTTTCATTTCACAGCCACTCTGAAGCTTATCACCGGGAAAAGGGGGGGGGGGCGACGTTTCCGATGTGATACCCCCCCAGCGTCCCTCCCCTGTTGGGGAACCCTTCGTCTGCCTATGGGAATAAGTACGCCCCTCTGACCGGATGCTGGCACGAAGACCGTCCGTGCTTGTGTGCAAGCATCCGGTGCACCTTGGTCAGGGTGCGGTATGGATTCACGAGAGGTATTGAACGTCGGATCTTGCTGTATAGGTGTAAAATGGTGAAACTTATACTTGAGCTAGTTGCTTATTAAGAGCCTAGGCGTACCTTGAAAACTCACGTTCCCGTCATTCCATTTCTTGTACGACTGTCTGTCAATGAAGTAGAGGACAAGGCGAAAAAGAGGTGGGGATCATACGCCACCCCTGCACCAGAAACCTAGCAGATGTTCCGATAACAAACGTCATTTTTCCCACCATTTTCTGGGTAAATATCAGCTTGTTTTAAAGCGGTAGTAATAATAAAATAAAACCTGTCATCAAAAAAAAAACCGGATCGAACAACAAGATTTTGCAATAGAAAGCTTTCATCTGATCGAATTCTTCAGTACAGCCAAAACGTGAGATTCCTACGCAGTAATTCAATAATAATTGCTTGTGTCAGCGTGCTAAAACAACGATATGAATATGATCGAGACACGCCCTAGTGGGGGATGCTCCAGTAATTTAGACCACCTGGCGTTCCTTAACCCGCACATGGATCATCAAGCAGTTTTGGGTCCACAAACTTGGTCCTGTTAAGTGTGTGAGCACACCATGCGTATCTTTGAGCAACGAAGAGGTCAGGTTTCTCGATGACGATTCTAGCATCAGTGATAAGGTGTTCTTCACTGCGATTGGTTTTGTAGCCGCGCGTGATCATGTCGGTTTGTGGTTATTTTTTGTTTAATCAAAGTCAGTTGATAGTCCAGCCTCCCCATTTTTCCGCTCTCTGTTTTCTTGTCTCCTTTGGTTATTATTATCTACAGGGCTTTACGTGCCATAGCTACGGCATTAACATGGTCCAAGCCTTAGTAATGCGACCACCGTGGCCTCGGTCGAGCCTGCGGCCTTCTGGTGAACAGAGCACCGCAACCATTGCACCACCTCGGCCGACTGTATCGCTTGTTCGCGTTTTCGTTTGATGATGCTCACATTCCCTTTACTTTTTAACGTGTACCAACCAGCCTTACAAGCCGCGTTAATGAACCTAAATGAAAGTGCGCGCCTGTTCTACGCATTTCGCTTCCATTGAAACGCGACCACCATGCCAGCTATCGAATCCGTGCCCTGTCTATCAAGTAATGCTAGACGGAAAAGTCTCTGTGATGACGCTGATTTCTTTTTCACACTCTTTCGTTTGTGGCTGCTAAGGAGATGTTAGCAAACAGTTTGTACTGTTTGGTTTTAGCTGTTCCGTACCTTTTTCGTATCTCGCAGGTGACCTTGTACATGGAGAAACGAGAATTCTGTGATCTGGGAAGTTGCACAGAGCCCGTAGGTGAGTACTAGCTGGCACACCTCTTTCTTTCCTTTGTTCCAACTCTAATTACGTATAAGAAACATACATTTGTAAGCGAACGCCGTGAAGTGCCCTTAAAAATAATTATTGGTAAAGTCCAGCCACTTTGTACGAATGCTGAAACTATAATATGCAATATACCCTCGCCTCTAAATGCCAACAATAAATGCCCATTGTATCGATATTCGCAGTTACTGATGTCACTGTTACTCTAATAATATGGCAATTGTGTGCAGCGAATTTTCATTCAATTTAGTTTCAAGTTATTGAGCACCTGCAATGAAGCTATTGATTGTTACTGCATTTCTACAAAGCGGAATTATCAGCAAGTTTAGACCAGCTGAATTCCCGTAGTTGCGACGTGTAAGCTGAAGCTGGTAGATTAACAAAGGATAATAATAAGTAAAAGTAATTTAGTCAATGTTTCGTAACGACAACGCCGTCATCATTTATCACACCGTTTTGTACGGCTGTGAACATTTAGGTGGTAGAAATATATTTGGTCAGTGCAGAACTCGTCGCTGAAACAGCCAGTGTATACTTGAGGTGATACTACCTGCAGCTTACTTTGTGTAGGCACGTCCGAACCGCACTAAGTTTGATGTGTTCCACTGAACCACAGCTCTTAACGTTTCTAAACTGTGCAATATATTACGAGATATGATGTACTTAAGCCTACCACTTCGTTTTTTTTTTTTACCCTCTATACCATGTGTCCGAGTTCGTCTATAGATATTTAGTGAGATATTAAGCTTGAGAGTGAGTTCAGCTGAGTAGGTTGTCGTGACCTGCCTCATGGTTCACGTAAATAAGCCTTCAGCAATACAAATATTGAGTTAGTCTCAGCAATTTATGTGCTTATTTTGTCAATCTTTGGTCATGGCGTTGTACACGACCGGATATTTTGCTGTCGTCAGAGAGCAGCCACGACGGCGGGTAAACAAATAATGTGACCTGGAAGATGAGCAGCGCAGTGCCATAGCCAACGAGCCATCGTATCGCGTCCGGAAATCTGTTTACACAGGCAAAACGTTGCTTCGAAAGCTTATTTTCATTCCTTTGACAGCGAGAGATCGATTACCAGCTCAAAAAACACCTATTAGGCTCAGGCTTCTACTAAAAAAATTGTGCCTCAGAACCGCTTCGTTTTCATCATTGTGATGCTATGAGTGAATATGTTTACTCATGCGTGGGCCCGCGTTATCATAGTATGGAAATCCTCAGCATCCGCGCTGCGATTCTTCTTCGTTCATGAACGGTTGACTGCATCTGATAAGACGCTGTCACTAATAGATTCTGTCACAGCCAAAGTAGAGCACGAAGTAAAGCGCGCTTCATACAGCCCTTCTCTTTTCTCCATTTCTTTATTTTTTGCTTGCAGGTCTATTGTCACCACCTAGCGCTCGATAGTTGGAAATCCTAAATGCTGTCTACGCCCGAAACACGCGCATCCACGAGGCGCAAATGACTTTACAGGAGGTGTCAGCACCCCCACAACGCAGAAATTAATAGAGATGGAGTCGACCCTAATCCTTGTCTAAGGCATAGTGACACTTGTACGTGAACATCCGCCGCGAGCCCTCGTGTGTTACTTAGGGTAACTTTTGCGTGTCACCACGCTGCCGAAGCGCAATCTCGGAGGCCACGTAGGAAAAATGGCGTGATTGAGATCTGTTCCACCAGATGCTGCAACGGTTCCAGCTGTCCGCAAGAAAACTTGCTTTTTGAATGAACTCATTTGATTATTTTCATTAATTACCCACCCTTACAGTTTATTGTCCCTTATTGTAACAACACTTACGCTCCCATACCATATGCATCTATTGCATCGTTTGAATAGAACAATGACAGTCGATTTCGTATAATTTTTACTTTTTAGAAGATCTTTGAAAACCAGAAGTAGCTGCTCCACCGGATATAGCTAGGAAGAGAAGCAAAGCCACTAAATTAAATGCACGCTCATTAAGAGCGAATGTCGCCCGCAGCAACGTCATCATCCAGTTTCAACTTGACCTTCCTCTTTCAGTGTCTTTCTGAACCAGAACTTTATTGGGTAACGGAGTGCTCGCTCTGTCGTCTCGCAGAGGGCGTGGTGGTGCTCGACGCCGACCAGCTGCAGCCCAACGAGCGGCTGCTGGTGGCGCTGGTGGGTCGGTTCCGGTACGGCCGCGAGGAGGACGAGATCCTGGGCATGACGCTCTGCCGAGAGGTCTACCTGGGACACACGCAGCTCTGCCACGAGCAGCCCAGCTCGCCCCGCACCCCGCAAGCCGCCACCGGATCCTCCACCGCAGAACCGCCCAAGTATGCTGCACTACACAATCCACCCCTTCAAGCGCGAATTGTGATTGCACTGCCTGCAAACGCGTCAACTTCACGTTACATGATTCTAAGACACTCAGTCATTACATTCCAAAAAAGAAAATGAAGATAGTGGGCCGTCATGAGCGAGCTTCAGTAATTGTAATAATTTGCGCCTAAATAAACATATAATCATTACGCAGCCGTTCAGCATCCGTTTTTGCATATAAAAAATCATATATGCGGTCCAAAATGCATACTAAGCTCGCTTCTCGGTTGTACTTCTTTCGAGAAAAGAAAAAGAAATCTCTTCGCGTTGGTCCTGGAATGGGGCTCGTCGTACGATCGTCGAACATGGTAGTGTCTCCAGAAAAATTATCTCCTGCCGCGATTCACAGCACAATGAAGTTAAATTACCGTTAAATGTCCACTTATAAGAAAAGAGCCCGAATCTTCACAATGCATTTCAAGCGATTTGAAAAAAAAAAAAACACGCGGTGCGTGACGAGCCTCGGAAGCTTATGTGTACAATTTCACACATGGCGCACGAAGGCGCAATACAATGCCTTACTATACTCATTACTATATGATTTGCTGTACTATAACTTTATTTCCGCACCAGAATTTCCTCATCACACTTTGTTGCAGTCGCTGCTGCACTTTTATCAATGTCCCTCAGCCAGCTCGCCGTCTTGCGAACGTAGTACCTCAGGGCTTCATAAACAAAAGAGACGTAGTAAAGTCAACCGTATACGCCTGCGTAAGTTTGCTGCACTAAATGATTGGCTACATACCTATATGCCCCCAGCATGTACCAGTTCTGCATGCATAAATTTCTAATCAGAAACCTAATGAAAAAGAAATATTTTTGCCACTGCTAAGAATGCAACAAGTTTCCTTTCCCGTTCAGATCTATCCTTTAACTACGAATCTCTTTAAATTATCGACGTTAAATTTGGAGCTATGATAACAGAAAGGTGCGAAAGGACATTTATATTGCTCCCAGTGAGTCTGGTACACCGTCTCCTTCGCAAGTACAGTAAGCACACGATAAACCACAAAAGACGACAGAAACAATATGACGGAGCACGTTTTCATTATCCCCGCTGGAAACTATTTTTTTTTTTCCTTGCTTTCCTCTTCGCGTCGTCAGCTCTTTATGGGCGCGCATATCTGCCCAGTTTGCCGTCGCTGCCTCCCTTCCCTCCTACCACACTTCATCACCCAGCGCACGCGAACCAACGGTGTCACAAGTGCTTCGTGGACTCGGGTAGAACGGTTACTTTCCCACCGCTGAGCCGTCAGGCCAAAGTGTCGCCAATATCAGCCATTCTGAAGACGCGGGGAAAATGGTGGGCGTCGAAAAGGAGTGGAGGAGTGCTCTCCTGCTGCCCTTCCCATTAGTGCGCACTGTAGCGATGTTCCGGGGGCAATCATCAACAGTTCGCTCACGTACTGTCACCGCTCCCATTTTTGCTGCAGATCCCCCGGCCGTGCCCTGTATGCCATGCAGCTAGGACCCGTGCACCGCCGGTTGATGGACGCCCTGGGCGAAGCGGCCGTGCCTTTTCGTTTCGAGGTGAGTGCGGAGCGCGTTGAGTTAGGTGCGAGGCATCGTCGTCGTGACTAGCAACGAAAGCAACCCGTTCGCCGACAGCGCGTTGCGTGGCGAGTGTGCAGAGAAGTCAATCAGAGCAAAACCGCGTCGCTGAAGGGGGGGGGGGGGGGGCTTTCTGTAAGATAGGTGAGTCACGCGCGCCTGCATTCCAGCCCAACCGACGACTAGATACACAAGTGCCACCGCCAGGGCTTTTAACGTGCCGCGTTGGACGTATGAGACTTGAATACACATGCATGTGAACGGGTGATGTGTAAACAAAACCAGGGTGCTTGAATGGTCTGTTACGTATAACCAAAAAGGCGAGTAGGCTATCGATCAAGGATGATGATGATGATGATGATGATGATGATGATGATGATGATGATGATGAGTGGTTTTTAATGGCGCAATGGCCAATTGATGGCCAAAGAGCGCCATTTCAATAGACTAGAGATATGAACAATGATATGATGCGTGGCTGTAAAGGGGCCTTAAAATTCGTCGCGCTAACGCGGGTGAAAACGTGGAAGTAATAAAATCATGACAGTGGCGTGAGATATGTGCAGTGAAAGTGGATGTCAAAATGTCATGATAATGAAACCATGATGGAGATATAGTCACCGCAGCCACGACCACAGTACAGAGGTCGCGCTACGGATCACCACGAAATATGGGGTGAAAGCTATGAACATCTTTGAAAAACGTGAAAAGTGATTGCAATGTGAAAAGCGGATCCCTACCGATGAACATCCCAGGGTGTAGTGGGAGGTGCTGTCGGTAGGGCAGTAAAAAGTGCTTTTTTCTTAGAGCATCTAGCTCATTGCACTGGACGAGAATGTGGAGAACCGTAAGTGGTTCTCCACATCTCTCACAATATGGTGGATTGCCGGTAGCTAGAAGATATGAATGTGTGGAGTGTGCATGTCTTGTTCTAAGCCTTGTTAGTGTTACTTCTGTGTGTCGCGATTTCGATAGTGGCGGCCAATTACCTAGTTGCGGCTTAATAGCATGGAGTTTATTATCTGTGTGTCTATCCCACATGCATGCTCTTCCAATACCCCCTGAGCTTTCGTTTTAAAAAATGTTTTAAGTCAAGTGCAGGGATCGGTAATAATACTATCAATCAAGGAAGCTATAACGTAAAAGGAAGGGATTTGCCAGTGCCATACTTGTATACCAAGCTCTCCTTAAATGCGTTTACTTATCAATGCTTAATAAAATATTTGTGGCGAAACTGAGACAAGCGAGGAAAAGGAGAAGACAGGATTGGGCGCCAGACTTTCAACACGTTTATTTTTCTCACATCACTCAAATATGCGATCAGATGAGATTACCAGCTGATGTTGGAAACAAAAAAGACATTTTGTCGCAGCTAAGAAATGAATTCATATCTTCCGCTCCGAGGATGCGGAGCTTTAACATCACGCTGCAGTGGTAGCTGCAACTCTTCAGTATACCTTGTTGGCCTAAAAAAGTGAACATCGCAATGCTGGGAAGTACATAATATGAGCCAAAAGGTCACCTAATAAAATTATAGAAAATAACTTGGAGTATAGTGAGGGCCTGCGCACACTTCCAGGACAAATATTGCACAACCGCGCTTAACAACGATCCCAACCACAACCTTTCAAACTCGAAACCTCTCAATACATCTCTGCGGGTGATCTGAAATTACGGGCCTTCGTATCGACTATAGCATTTCAAGGTGTCTAACACAGTCACGTATTGTGTGTGGTACTGACCAAATGTCTAACGACACGTACCTACAGTAAAATGTTAAGGATGATGTGGTGAAAATAGTGTGATAGCATAGTTTAGCTGCTGACCTGAACACTTCACTTAACCAAATTTTAAATTAGCACGCAGCAAAGCTGAAACGTGACAAAGTAATAAGGAAGAAAGCTGTATTCTGTTTTCAAGATGCAGTCATGCCAAACCGCAGAAAAACCTGTATGTTGCTGTATTGTTGCTGAGAATGTCACGACTACACTTTTAGTAATCGTGGTCTCAAGCTAGAGGTGCTTTGCCGAAGCTGAACGTTAGGTCTCTTCTCCGCAGAATCGTCTGTGAAAACGTGTTCTCCTGGAGATGCACTACACCCGCTATAGGTGGCCACGTTTGTTATCTCTTTAGTGGTTATTGTCTTCACTATTTTATAACACAAATGACACGTATGGCACACGAGGAAATAACTTCTCATGCTGCAAATTGTGATCCTATAAAAAAATTTTGTGGCGTCATTTAAGGAACCAGAACAAAAAAGTGTGAACATATATCGAAAACAGGTACATCGTCATCACGGGAGATGCAAAAAAAAGGAAGGTCAATGTTGACATCACAGAAGAAAGGACCTTTAACAAAAATGAGCACATCAGCTCGCTTGTATGGTGCTGTGCGTTTCCTCGATGAAGGGCGAAAGAAAAGAGCAGAGCAAAGAGAAGGGACGTGCAAATGCCAATTGAAACGCACACAAACTCGCACGAAGTTGCCAGGAAGAAGCAACTTCTGAAAACCTATGACCTGTCCAGAGCACCTGCCCCCTCGCCGCGTAAGCCTTTAATCTGTCAGTTATGTAGAGTACAGTTATACAAGATATGCACAATTTTCTCCCTGAACCATCCGCGCTATATACACAAGCAAAAAAGTGGAGAGATTGCATTTATTTTAATCGTGGGTTTCTTCATTTTCTTTTTTATTAGTCTGCCTGAGAAATTGGTTTAAAAAACTGTCAATGGTAGCTTGCTTTGGCGCTGAGCCGTGCTCCCGTCTAGGGCTGCAGAAGTTGCGTCTTTTGTTTTCCTCAACCCCTCTCCCTCTTCGTGTAGGCACAGCTGAGTGCATCCAGTGGCTGATCTGTCGAAGAAAGATTACGAAAGACTTAAGTGTGAGAAGAGAGTAGCGCTCGCTCCTTTCAGTGTTCCGACGTGAACAAGAATGATGGTTTGTTCGATTGAATAGTAAAATGGAAGAGTGATCCTTCGTCAAACGTCGGGCGTCGGTGTGGGTCCCCATATTTCATGATCATTTCCCATTTTCCCTTTTGGTATTCTCCCTGCCTACTTTTCCCTGCTGTACGCTTTTTGTTTCTGCACTGTGGCAGATGAAAGACGAAATGAAAGTTACGCAAGGAGAGAGTAAAAGACGCGTAAACCGTTTTGAAAACATCGTCGTTTCAAGTTACGTTCGCTGACCCTTGAAAGCAGGTGTCCACGTGTCATCAGAGCCGGCGTGCAAAAGGCATTCGGTAACTCTAAAAAAAGTAAAGAAAGAAAGAGAACGCTCGGAGAGGTTTAGGCAGCTCGGTTTTCTGAAATCGCTTCTATACTTACGTCTTTCGTAGCGCGGGCCGCAAACAGATGAAATTACGAACCTGCTTTGTGGTTTTGCGACGCGAATCAGAGACGTCAACAGATGGGAATTGCGTTTCTGGTGGGAAGCTCGTTTCGGTTTCGCTGATGCCCATTGCCTCTTCTGTGTACCAGTTACCAGTTCGGGGGTAGCGATTCAATCATCCGAATTCCGGCAATCACAGGTTGGTCATTACAAGTTTTCCCAAGACTAAAACGCCACCAACGCGGACTCTGCTTTTAACGTACTGTTTAAAAGAAAACAACGTTTGCAGCCTTCTAAACCTGTATTCATTTTTGATTAGAATTTAAGAATGGCGTAATAGCATAGGTATACACATTTCGCCTTCTATACGGTATATATTTACCTTCTTACGTTTATGCGGGTTCGTAGTTGATTGTACCTCCCATGAACTGACGGATATATCTAATGGGTAATCATATAAGACCAAATATACTGAATCATTTGCATAGCAATATTTCTGCACAAACATTGCTACTCTGCCTACAGTTTATTTTTCAGTATTAACTAAGTGGTATTTTTTTTAGTACGAGTGCATATTTTTCCTTCATTTGCTCAGTGCAATTTGCTAGCTTATTTTTAAAATCAATACATTTGTCATGAGCTGTGCATTCTTTTCCCAGATCATTTTTTGTGTGTATTAGCATGCAGAATATCATAATCGTTGTTTTAGTTCAGCCTAATTTTCTTACATTGCACTTCGAGAAGCTTTGTCCATAACAGAAGAATGATTTTTTTCTAGAGAAACAAAAAACTCAAACGTTAATGTACTACAGCCGGAAATTTTAATAGTTAAACTTTCATAACAAACGGAATAGAAAAAAATCACACTACATGCGAGTGGTGTTGTAATATTTGTAAGCTAGTGAAAGCATTGAAGCTTGACTAAAATTATAGAAATATCATATCATAAATCAAGGATCACTGTAATTGAAATTTCTCTCCACCAGTAGCAAGAAATGAATAGACATTTTCGAAACGGTAGCCTACAGTCTGTTCACCTCAACTAATATCAATATACTCTATTACTTTTAGACACGTTAGTGACATATGTTGTGCGAAGCTAACAAAAATGAAGTGAAAGTTAAAAAATCAAAATAAATTAAGGCCGCTTGACATTTATGTTTTTCAGCTTTATTTTATATCGGTTGTTAGAAATATTTAGCCACTCGGTCCAATAACTTATGGGGCTGATATGTGCTAAATTCTAACAAATCTCAATTTAAGAAATAGTGCGCCCATAAAGCTCGAACACGTGTTATATATATATATATATATATATATATATCCCGCGTGACATATGTATGTCACGCGGGTTGGGTCTCTTTGGCTTTACGGAAATGCCATACATGGCCCATATATAGGCTATATGTGGCCACATGTAAGCATATATGTCAGCATATGTGGCTTCCACTTACCATATATGGATGTATATCTGGCGGAGTCGGTTCATGTATGGGGTTATATACAGCCATATATGACGCAGCTGGCCCATATAAGGAGTCAAATCCGGCCTTAATAAGGCACGGCCACACCATATATAACATATCAAGTGGATCTTTATATGTGTAAGTGCTCCCTTATATGGGATGAACCACGTATATATTTAG